ATAATAATAATAATAATAATAATAATAATAATAATAATAATAATAATAATAATAATAATAATAATAATAATAAAAATTTTGAGTATCAAATCATGTGATCTGTATTTGATAACGTATATTTGCATAAAAATCTATCGGTCCCGACAGTATGCAAATAGACAGGTGCGGCTGTAAATCTATAACCTATTACACAGATACGAAGGTCGGTTGCTGTACCAGCAAATTTATTATATCGTCGAATAAGAACAAGGTATTGACAAATCCAATAATTATGCAATTTTCGTTATATATTTACGACATGTAAATTCCGTATTTGATACTTAATAGTTGGCATAAGATACATTTAGTATGCATATATTAACGTTTTTTCTGACGCTTATTCGTTCGTCAAGTTCTCCACATGATATCAGCATTTTCATTGCAATTTAATCATCATCATTCGTCATTTTTGGCATTAACTTCAAGTACCCATTTACTTTAAATTTTCGTGTTGATTTTTGCGCTGGATTTTATATATTATACCATGGGCTTTTTCAGTTTATGAATCATATAAAACGTGCATGCGCCCCTTGTTGCACACATCTTGTGCTGTGATCTTCCTACAAAAAAGGGGAAATCTTATAGCGGAGCAGAACGTGATCCCGCATTTGCAGTTTTTCTTGGCTGCCATGCAAATTAAACCAATGGAATTGCGAAAGATCTGCCCCCGCTTTAGACGTGCTCTACAAAAAGAAATACCGCACCTTAATTAGTGGGTTAGCACAAGAGAAAGGGAAGCTGTAATGATTAGATAAGGAGATGTTTTTTCTGGAATCAGTCAGTCATATAAAATTTTTTTTTTGATATATGATAACCATTATCAATTCATAATATTATGTGAATTCCTGTTACTATTCCTATTACACAATATGAAAAAAAAAACTTTTTGTAGTCATTTGTATTACGTTCAAGGCCAGCACCGCCACCGCCTTTTTAAATTTTATTAATTATATTATTGTGCTTACAATAATAATATTCGGGTATTACATAATCAATTAATAACGTCATTTACATTTTTAGTAATGGAAACTAGAATACTTTACAAATTACTTTTTTTTTGTTGGATTTGGAAGCGTATGACCCCATGTTTTTTGTAAGGTAAATACAAGTGGAGAGTGGAGTGGTCTAAGTCCAGTGATTGCAATCTCGGACTTTTGATCGATCGCAACCCAAGTTACCACCACTGATCAAAAATGCACGAGTGATCACAATCTCCATACATAACAGATTCTTAAGCCTATAAAGCTCTATCCACTATAAGCGATGCAAACACCAAGTTATTTCTAGAGAGCTATGAGTGATCGCAATTCCCATACATCGCAGATGTTTATAAAAGCAAATGCGAGTGGAGTGCTTGTTATTGTTAAGTATTCTATAAATATCTTTCTTTATAGATAGTTTTTTTTGTCTAACCGTTTCGAACCTTAAGGATAATTTAAACTCTAATCCTCGTGGTTTGGGTCCAGTGATTGCGCGATATCCAAGTTACCACCACTGATCTGAAATGCATGAGTAATCGCAATTCCCACACATCACAGATTCTTAAGCCGAGAGGCTCTATCCACCATACGCAATGCTTAATATAATTAAGTATACCAATTTTCGCTTACTTTTCTATCCCTTTTGCTTCAATATTCCTCAAGGTACGTGTTCAAAACGTTTAATTGCGAGGTTTCTTTCAAGCGGTACAGGTGGCTGATTATGCCTTTTCGGTAGTAATAAAGCTTCAGACGAACAATAACGTCCGTCCTCGGGCGCAAGGTATAAAGGAAATAACAGAACAACATATTAAACACATAAGTCACTTTTTGCTTCCCCTATCCGATAGTAGAATAGAGTTGTTCTGTTTCTATTAAGAGTAGTTTTGTTAACGAGCCTCGGCTATCAACTTGGAAGTGCGAATTTTTTTTTTACACACTCGTAATATAGAATCGTTTGCCGTAGAGGAGAAGATGTTATAAGGCGACGCGCGTAATAATGAAAAGCATTAAGTGTAAGTCTTATTAAACCTGTCGTATAACGAAATGTTTGTTTTTCTGTATACATACGTTGTATTACGGCTCGAAGAAGAGATTGCTGTAATGTGGCAACTCGTTGTTTAGTACTTGCTTGTGTTAGTGCGTGTAATATAGTGCGGCAAAGGAATCATTTTCCGTTCGATAACTTGTTCGCGTGCAACTGTCGTGAAATGAAAACAATAACAGCAGTGTAATAAAAATTTTTGCGGGGTTAACCAATGCATTGAATTAATCGTTATAATAACAACAATATAATATCAACATATTTCAGACTACATGATAGTAGTGACATCGTAACTCATAAATTTATCTAAGGCAAAATAAAGATTAATACGTTTCCGAGTGTTGAGAGCAATTGATGGACATTATTTGGTTGTCACAAGGCATAGACAAAGTGTTAATAATATACATGCTTGAATACTGTATAATTATTGAAACGGAGAATAAAACGGGCGTAATCGATTATGTTATTACAATCTTCTGTATTTTAAGTTTAACAAACATTTCCTATGGGTTTGGTTATCGGTTTCGATAAATTTTTTTCTTTTTTGTGGTGAAGAGAAGCTATCGAAAAGTGATTGTACATGTCGGACCTTTTTGGGGGTAAGGAGGTTGGGGTTGGGATGTTGTGGGATAATTGGTTTGTCCGTATGATGAAACGGCTATTATTAAATATATTAATATATTAACAAAATTAATAAGCCATTAAGAATAGCGATAACGTCGCGTAGTAATTTTTATTTAATTGTTATATATTTATAAATATTACGAATAGTATAGAAAAGTCGATGGAGAATATATCCATTGCCTCGGATATATTCGAGATGTAAACCCATTGTAATTCTGCGACAAACATAGTCAACATAATCATTTGTTTAGAAAAAAAAATTCTCTAAAGTAGTAATCGATAATTAGTAGCTATTAGAGAATAGATGCTTGAATAATATAATAAAGTTGGCTAAGTCAGTGGCCTCATCACTAAGCATCGACACTACAGAGCCCTATTGTCACGGTGAGGGGACGCAGCCGCCTCGCGAAGAAAACCGGTGACAATATTATTAGAGTTTGAATTATTGCATATATCACCATAAAATCCGCAACCGCCTGGAAACTGATCAGGGAATAAAATGGCTTCTAGTTCAGGATCATTAAAACGAAGTAATATTTGGCGTTCATTTCATCTTGAAAAAATTCTATTGCTAAACGAGAAGAATGGGCATCCTTATTATGTATTCACCTAGTCGGTGGAGATTAGTTTTTATCGAGTTGCTTGAAATTTAAGCATTGCTCAATTTTTCGGTGGGTCATGCCTAAAACATCATTCCTCTTTTCTGCGTGCCTTCAACGCCTCTCGTAATGCTGCATTCTGGAAACGGCTCAGATTCTCGCAACATGTCATTAAAAATGAGTTGACGCATTATTCATACTCAAAGTTTTTGGATTGTATCACCTGCGTACTCTTACCAGTGGAATTTTCTATTTGGAACAGAGGGTTTTTGAATTAGTCTTATAGTGTTGCGTTCTTATGAATTGTGCATTCGAACGACGAAAATATCAGTCTTGGAAAGATCGTGGATCTGGTCCATGAAAGGATGGAATAATATTCTACGATCCACGATACTGAACGAATTATTGATGTTATTATTTTAAGGCACACTCGATCGAGGAAACCAAGAGGATAATTTTCAATATTACTTTGGTTTAGTCAGATCGACCTACTGTATTGTTGAAGAGGAACCCTCCGCAGACAGCGCATACGAAAAAACTTCCGAAGAATACTAAAGATACTATGGTGCGTAAAAAGACGGACACAGCTAGAAAGATTTACCATATTTTCAGTAAAATAGATAAAGATAAAATTAAGCGGATCAAACTGTTTACTGTATCTAGTTTTTCAAATTTAGAGGTTATATATATTATAAAAAATTTCCCTTTCGTAAGTCTCACAAAGTGAGGATGTCAACATCTGGAAATATAATTTCATTGTTCATTTCACGTGATACTTTCCGGCTCGGAACACCCCATATTATTGTCAAAGATTCTGGGATTAAGATTATTCAACGCGATTTGCAAAGTTTGGCCAATGCTTCTAAAGCTGAACGTCTTCCAACTGGTTCTGCCAGCTCTAGACCAGATTTTGGTTCATCACCCCCAGGCCATCTTAAAACAGTAATTGATTGCCTTGTGGTAAGCCTCTCGCAAGCTCTCCAATATGCAGTCGGAATCTCGGTGCACGTTTTGCGACCGATGATTTGGTTGTCGTTGTATCTTTGGTAGACCAGGGTCTCATACGCGCAACTCTTTAGCTTCACCGAGCCCTCGGTGACGTCGCCCTAATGAATTGAAGCACTTAACCAATAAAGAGTTCAGAGAAAGTTTTATTCGTCGTATTTACATGCCCAGTTTGGTATTAATTGATAGTTTTCATCCAATCATTTCGCCTTGTAAAATGTAACGTACGAGGAGATGACGAACAGCAAATATAGTCTGATCCTAATCTGTAACCGGCGCATATTCTTATCCCCACAAGCAATCTCAGCAAGAGTTTGAGCTTCTCCAAAATTCTTTGATGGCAAAAATGCTGATCCTGCTAAGAAAAAAAGACGTTTGAGTACTGAAAACATGGACTCATCAGAGAATTAACATACAAACCTCTATAATTATTGTCACGGCTGATGCTGAAATCCGCTGATGCTGAAATCCCCGTGACCGATTTTCTGTTACATAATCG